ACAGTTTTTGGTGGAGTCTGCTGCAGGCTCACTTGAGGCCCATCCTCTTCCAAGCTCTTAGATTTGGAGCAGAATCCAGGTTCTGTGGTTGTATGACCGAGGCCCTCAGCTCCTAGAAGCTTCCCGGAGCTCCTTGCCCTTTGGCCCCCTCCATAGACAGTGTGTGGAGTGGCAGCCTGCTGCTTCAGGACCAGCAGGAGAACATCCAGCACATGCCAGCATCTGAGATCTAGCTACCTGTGTGTGTGTGCACACTGTGGGATCTACATTATCTAGCATCTATCTACCTACCTATCCTCTCTTTATTAACAAAATCATGGGGGGTGCACCCCATCACCTTTGTCATACTCTACTAATTAGGAGCAAGTGACAGGCCCTGCTGTCCTAAAGGGAAGGGGTTATACAGAGCAGGAACATGGGACCCCTCCTCATGTCTGTCCATCATACCTGGAATGTGATCCCCTAGCCCAAAGTTTCCCAGTGGGAGTACCTGAAACACTAGTTCTATAAAAATTATTTTCTAAAAAAGGCAGTGTGTCATATGAGTTTGGAATTGTGGCCTGAGCTTTTCCTCTCTTGGAGATTCCAAATACACACTGGCATATGAAAGATCCTGAAAAGCCCTGGGTATCAGATGTGATTGCATTCAGATATAGATATATATATATCTCAATTTAGAAACTACAAAGTCAGATATCTTAAAAGACAAGGAGCCGGAGGAGAGGAGGCCTTGGCTCTGGGCAGCACGCCATGCAGAAGTCCTGGCAATTTCCTGGGCCCTCCTGCACCGTCACATGATAGCTGCTGCAGCTCCAGCCCCAACGCTTGTATTTAAAGCACAGGATGGAGGAGGGAAAGTCCTGAGTTGGTCCTCTCTGTTTCATTTCTCATGAAACTCCTACTTTCTATCCTCCCCACACTTCTGCTTCTACCTCATGGATTAGAAGAGGGCTCACATGGCTCTGCCTAGCTGCGAGGAAGACTGTGGATGTCAATGATTCTTGCACCAGAAGTGAGAAATGGTAGTGCACACAGGGTTGGGAGAGCCCTTGGAGGGAGCCAATTGCCAGTGTCCACCAGGTGCAGTCCTAAAGAGGTGGCCTTGATCTTCCACCTGGAGTTCTAAGGTTTAATCAGAAGCCTCCACGGATGCTGCTGTAGCCCCAGCGGGGTCCTTCTGGGGTCTCAGACCCACGAAAACTAAACTAACTTTCTGGCAGGGACATCCTGCCAGACATTTGGCACTAACATTTGCTCTGTCCTCTGTTCTTGAGGACAGTTTCTGGTGCCCACCCTTAGGCCCACAGCCACCTTCTAAAAGTTGTCCTTCCTGGAGCAGCTTTCTTGTCCACCAGTCTATCAACAAGGTCACATAGAATGAGGAGCGTGCATCCTAAGAGGGACCCTTCTGCCCTCCTGGCTTAGAAATGCAAAGACCCCTAAAGGACCAGCTCAGCATCGTTACTTCTCATGCCACAGGCAAGATTGGCCCCCAGCCAAGAACCACGCCCTATAACTGGAGTGGCTCACAGCCACTGAGTAGGAAGCAGGCAGAGAGGTCAAGTCAGACTCTCCCTTCCCTTAATCTCCATTTCCCAGTTTCTGTCTCGTTTCTTCTTCTCACCCACAGTCTCACAGGTCTCTTCGGCTTTTACATTTCCAGTGAGATCGACTTCTCTTTACCCGCTCCAGTTGTGCTTCTGCATTTTCGGTTGGTGACAATAGCAGTTTCTGAGGAGTTAACTTGGCTTGTTTTAAATGTCTGCGGCCCTCCAAGTATTATCAGTAGGAGGAGTAACAGAGTCTAGTAGAAGAGAACTGGGTGGGATGTCCAGCTCCATCCGACAGTGGCAGAGAGCCTGGAGGAGCCAACCCAAAGAGTGTCGGCATTAAGAAGGGGCTCAGGGCCAGGCACGGTGGCACATGCCTGTAATCCTAGCAACTAGGGAGGCTGAGATAGGAGGATCATGAATTCAAAGCCAGTCTCCACAATGGTGAGGCACTAAGCAACTCAGTGAGACCCTGTCTCTAAATAAAATACAAAATAAGGCTGGGAAGGTGGCTCAGTGGTCAAGGCCCCTGGGTTCAATCCCTGGTCCAAAAAAAAAAACAGGAAGGGGCTCAGGGGTGGAGGAGCCAACCCAAAGAGCGTTGGCATTAAGAAGGGGCTAAGGAGCATCTCAAGAGGCAGCGGAAGCCACCTGTGGAAACTCTGCACCGTGAGCCAGCGCAGAGCTCTAGAGTCAACCTGTCAGCGCAGGGACATTCCTGCATCCACTGACTCATTCCACTTCCATTTACTGAAAGCCCACTATCAGCTATCAGCTGGACACTGTGCTGGGCATCTAGGACAGAAAGACGAAAATACACAGTCTCTGTCCCAAGGGACTCAATGGCAGTACACACAGGGTTGGGAGAGCCCTTGGAGGGAGCCAATTGCCGGTGTCCACCAGATGCAGTCCTAAAGGACTGCAGGATGTCTCCAGGGGACACATCCCTGACTTGGATAACAACATTATCCAATAACAACTGTGACGACAGAGGGGCAAGTGGCTTAGGAGTGCTCTGGCCAGGTGAGCAGGGGTTGTCCTCTCTAGCAGGTCCTCCCAGAAAGGCCTCAGCTGTATCCCAGGGCACAAACGGTGTGATTCTAAACAGAATCCTGAAGAGGTGAGCATTTAGGGTTGGCTGCTGTTGACTGGTGGCAAAGAGAAGGACTGTTCTGAAGGAGAGGCCCTGGGCCTGGCCCTGCCGAGCCTCACATTTTCTCAGTTCCACACTTTCCTGTCTTGGGGTCTCACCCTCTTTCCCTCTTCCCTTTGCAAAGTGTGTGTGAGGGGCTGGGAAGGTGCCTCAGTGGTCCAGTGCCCCTGGGTTCATTCCGTGTGAGCTGCGGAAACAGGTCTCTCAAGATGGATCCTGGACAAGCGCACACAAAGCGCCCTTCCTGGGAGACCCGTGTTTTCCTCCTGTGTCCCCACAACCCCTCATACCCACTCTGGAGCCAGAAGAGGTGGCATTCTCAGTGAGGTATGAGGATGAGAAGTCACCATGATGGCCACAGGGAGGAGGCCTTCCTGGAAGAGAGAGCACTGTGGTGGACATCTCTGAGGTCAGGTTGGTGGGCTCCAGGAACACGAGTTCAGTTGGGCTGACACGGGGGTGCAGGAGGGGGAGCCAGACAGCTCAGCCAGAGCCTTGCAGAGGGTTCTCTAAAATCCACCTGACTGGTCCTGTCTCAGCTTTCCATGAACCTCACAAAATACATTTCCATATAGTGTCTCATACAGTGTCTCAACACAAGTATCAAAGGCCCCTAAATACACCTTGTAAAATTCTCGTCTCTTCAAGCTGGAAAGCCCATATGGCCCATGTGGAAAAATAACCCTGAGGCCAGCTGCTAAAGAACTGGCCCCAGCCTCTCTACTGGGGCCATTATTTGTAGGAAAGAACTAGTCCATGGGTTGCAGGGACCACAGTCACCTAGAGCAAGGTCTAGGAAGGCAGGCAGGAGCGGCCACCACCCCAGAGGGTCTTAACTCCCACCTTGCTCTCATTTTGCCACTCAGAAGCCTGTTCCAGTATCACTTCCCCAGGGGCCCCCGGTCTCCCCAGACTGAATTCCGCCTCCCTAGGTATATTTCTGGGCCCTGTGTGGACTCGCACATGTGCACATACCACTGTGTGTTGTGGCTTATTTAATAACATGTTCTGCATCTATAAATTCCTTGAAAGCAGATACTGTATCCTAATCATCTCTGTTTCTCTCCCACAGGCACAGGGCACCACACGGGGCTTGGAATACAGTAATATTTCTGTTTAACAAGTAAGTGTTCTTTCCACCAAGCTGAACTTTGGGATCAACAGAGGAGGACACTGGAGGAGATACCTCTGATGAGTACAATGATCGATGATTGAAAGAGCCACAGCCAAGGAATGAGGGTAAAAAATAACAGGGGAATGGCTGGGTTGGCATCCCAGTGTATGCTGCAAGTGAGCAGAAATCCAGCTCAGATTTGTTATGTGGAAGAGAGATTTAGCCACTCAGGAGGCTGAGGCAAGAGGATGACAAATTCAAGGTCAGCCTCAGCAATTTAGCAAGGCTGTAAGCAACTTAGCAAGACCCTCTTTCAAAATAAAATATTAAAGGGCTGGAGATGGGACTCAGTGGGTTCAATCCCCAGTACTAAATATGCATGCATGCATGCATACATACATACATACATACATAATTTTAACATAAAATAGAGACTTCCAGCTCTTTTATGTCCAAAAAGTCCCAAGAGAAATTCTGGTGAAGCTCTATTCAGGTGCTCAAGCAATAGTACCAGAATTGAGCATCTCTCTCTCTCTCTCTCTCTCTCTCTCTCTCTCTCTCTCTCTCTCTCTCTCTCTCTTCTGCTTTTTTCCTCTGGGCTTCTCCATTCTCAGTCTCTACATGGGGCAAGGGTTTCCTGGTGCTTATAGGCCCAGACTCTCCATGTTTGTGCATGGTTAGGAAGAACTTTCCCATAAAATTCAGCAAAATGATATCAGTTATCACCAGCTCTGCCAAAATACTTCCCACCCTGAACCAATCAGTGAGGACCGGAGAATGAGATCTTTACACAACTGTAAGGTAGAGACACCGGCCAGTCTACAGCTACCTTTCTCATGGTAAATTGTGTAAGGTGCAATCTGATGTAAATTGGCCTGTATAAGATTGAGCAGGGTATCATTGTTGAAAAATAAGGAGCGAGGCCCCCAGCTCTGCAGGGATTAGTATATGAGCCGGCCACACCACCACACAACACCCCAGACTGCAGCTTCCTGGGCTTGTGGATCCCAGTGAGCCCCAGCACCAACTCTCCCTCCTCAGAACTCCACAGTTACAGTGACAGCACCCAGTGACAGCACCCCGGCAGCCTGTCTGCCCTGATCCCTACCCTACAGCCCCGATAGCCCCCCCAGTCAGTCCTACCTCCAGCCACTCATGCCTAACTATGGGAGTCACCATGCACCTGAAGCCTGGGGTCCTTGGCTTGGGGATGGGTGTCTGTCCCTTTGGCTTCCCAAGAGCTGCTGCCCTGGACACTGAGAAGCAGACTTCATGCTGGAGAACTTGGTGACAGTGGAGGTGGTGTCTCCACAGCACCTGCACTGAGCCACTGGAAAGATGCCCAGACTGACTCAGAAGCAGGCTGAAGGAACATGGTAAGTTTCAGGATTTTAGGGTTGATCAAGAGACAGGGTCATGGGAGTCAGTGACACACAATGAGCTTTACCAGGTGGCACTTGGACAATGTGGAATGAAGGGAAAGAAAGAAACATTCTAGACACAGCAGGCACCCCCAGAAGAGGAAGAGGGAAAGGGGGCTCCTGGGGAAGTCAGGAAGGTGCTTGTGTATAGAGGGAGTCTCTGGTGGGAGAGCTCTGCAGGGCAGCAGCAGCCTGTGGTCCTTCACAGCTACGGGGTTTGCCATATCTGTGACTGGCAGCTGTTGGTTACTCCACTGAATGTGTCACGTAGATAGACCTTAAATGGCTAGAAATATGTTTATTTGGACTATATAGTTGCTCTTCAACTTACAACGGAATTAACATCTCATAAACCCACTGTAAGGTGAAAATATCTTAAATCAAAAATGCATTTAGTGCACCTGACCTGCTGAACACTATAGCTCAGCCTGGCCTACTTCAGCGTGCTCAGGACACTCACAGCAGCCTACAGCAGGCAGGTGCTCTCCCACAAAGCCTATCTTATAATCAAGGGGTGACCATCTAAGGGAATTTATCGAATACAACACACAGTGGAGTACAGAGTTGGCTGTTGAACCAATACCCAGACAGGGTGGCTGGTTGGTCGCTGAACTGCTGAGGCAGCCCAGCATCTAAAAGAAGTATGATATTACATATCACTAGCTAGGAAAAGGCCCAAATGCAAAATTCAAAGTATAGTTTCTACTCAATGTGTGCCATTTTCATACCACTGAAGAGTCAAAAAATTCTAAGTCAAATCATGGTAAGTTGGGGACCGTCTGTACTTAAGGCGGTTGGATGTGTAAGAATTTGTGGCACTAGCAGGCTCAGGGCTAACTGTCCTATTTGCTGCAAATACATAAGCAACATGGGGACATTTTAGGCCAACACGCAGTGGCCATATTTGGTCCATTTACAAAACAGCATCACGGGTGGAATACATCTTTTGATCAAGGGCTTAGCTAGGCCAGGTGTTAAGGTTCCACTGGCTCATGTTACAGTTATCCTCAGAGAATAGTCCTGCATGGCCCAACAATATCCCCACTGTGGTTTTCTTTCAAGCAATTAAGTAAATAATACTTTAAGTAGGAGTGAAAACTTATCCTTTCAAAACTCTTTCCTATTTGAGTCTTACAACACCTTCTGAAGGAAGGAGGAGGAACGTTTTATACACACACACACACACACACACACATACACACACACCCCCCAGCATCACACAGGTGAGGGGAAGGCCTCTTATGTGTTGGAAGGACACGGGAAGCAGAGACAGTGGCGGCCAGGACTGAGACTGGGACTCCCAACTTCCTCGACTCCTGCCTGTTCCATCTGCTAGGGCAGCTGATGGAAATTGCGCTCACTGAGGCCTGAAGAGGCAGCTCCAGAATGTTCTCTGCCTGGGGTTGCTGCCTTGTTCAGACCAACAAAGATTTCTTCCCTTTGGGGCCATTTGTTCCTTCAAGGTTCTAATGGAATGGGGCAGTTCTTGGAGAGGTTGAAGTAGAATCAGCATCTTTGCTAAGTCTCACCCACTCCCTCAGCTAGGTCTGTTCCTAAGAGTCCCTTAGGCATCTTACTGCTGGGAGAACCCAGGCCTAAGAGAGGAAGCCTTGCCAGAGGCCTTAACCAGAGGGTACATTCCGTCCTTTGAGCCCTAGGGGGCGCCAGCTAGCCTTGAGCTTCCCAGGCTAATGCCCAGAACAAAGCCTCAAGGGGAAGGTTACCCTCCAAGAGTCCAGGAGGAACTGTTCCCCCAGCTCTCTGTACCCTCTGGATCCTGGGCCCCCTCAACATCAGAACACAGCTCTCTAGGGACATTAAGGCCTGTCTTGCCTGCTCCCCCGCCTCCACCCCAAGAGTTTAAGGATCACAGTTACTTTCCCCAGGAATATCTTCATTACTCTCCAGGATGGTCCTGGGCACTACCTCTGGGCATGCCTTAAACTCTCCTCTGGAAATGACTCCTTGATCTGTGGAGGCCCAAACTCAGTCCTGAACAGCCACAGGCTGAACAGAGGGTCCCTGAAATCTATGCAATTTGGCAGGAGGGGATGTTCTTTAGGAAAAATAATACAAAATTACACCTACTAAATGTCCCCAAGGACTGGGGGGTGAGGGGGAAAGGGAGGGAGGAAGAGAAGGGCAGATGGTCTCGACCAGTGAGTGATATATGCATATATGAAGATATCAGATTGAACCCATTGAGTTGTACCATTAATGTGGTTAATTATAATGAAAATTATCACATTAAACCGGAAAAGATAAAAACCAAAAAATGCCCAAAAGTTGCTAGGAGGGGCTCTGCCAATGAGAAACCTGCACCTCTGGTCCCAGCAGACTGGGGGTCTCCCTGCAGCTACCTCATTCTGGAGTGGTTGGCTGGGACACCCAGAGGAGAGAGCAGGGTGGCTCAGAGCACTCGTAAGGGGCAAGGAGTCCTTGGTCTCCCCAGATCATTGCTGCGATCCACTGTTTTGTGGTTAAGTCCTCCAGGTTCAACACTCCCTCAACAGGAAAGGAAGAATTCTGCTTCCCTCTTAGCCAGAAAGAGAAGACCTCTGCCACATGGGCTGGGCAAATTCCCAGGCAGCCTCACTCTTGGCATTCCATGAGTGCCAACAGGCCAGGGCCACCCTCCAATGCTCAAATCTCCTCAAGGATATTTACCCTGGCCCAGGATTGCTGCCATCTTGTGTGGCCAACTTCTTCAAAGCGATCCCAGTCTGAGGATCAAAAGTTGCAAGTCCCAGGAAATCCCTTAGTGGTGGCCCCACCAGTACATGGGTTACTTGCTGTACTACCATCTTCTCCCTCAAAGTAGGTTGGTGTGGCCACATCTCAGCTCAGTTCTCAGAGCTCCAGCTTGAGTTGTGATTGTAAGTCTGAACAATGGGCCAAGGAAGAGGTTCCCTCTGCCAATCAGTGAGAACCCACGAGGGCCTACCCTTTGCCCAGCATCTCCTGCCAGCCAAGGAAACAAGGCTTGCTTATTACTTCCACAAAGAGGAACTCTGTGAGTGAAATGGGAGGGTACCATTGCCAGAGTAAATAATAATAGTAGCCTTATTAAGTTCCTAAAAAGGGCCATGTCCAACACTGGGAGAGCTACATAAATGATTGCTTTTAATACTCATTGCAAACCACGACGTAGGTATTTCCCATGCTGACTCTCCAAACGGAGTTCAGTGGTGTTAACCAGCTTACCCGAAGGTAGCTTGTCAGCACAGCTCTTTTTTTTTCTTTTTAATTCAGCAAATTTATTATTCCTTTATTACCTAAAACACATAATTGACTATGTAGCATAAATTCACAGATTATGATACATTACAGTGAAGTATCACTGACCCATCTAGAGGATAATTTCTTTGTTTTAATTAATTATACATGACAGTAGAATGCACTTATATACTTTAATGTATCATACATAGATGGGATATAATTTCTCATTTTTCTGAGTAGAATCACATTGGTCATACAGTCACATACATACATACAGTAATAATGTCTGTTTCATTCTACTATCTTTCTTATCCCCGCATCCCCTGCCTTCCCCTCTTTTCACTTCCCTCTACCTAATCTAAGGTGACGTTACGTTTTTTTTTTTTTGCATTACAATTCTTAATACACATAAATACCATGCTTTTTAAATTTCTGTTTGTATATAAAGTATGTTGACATCGAATTCAAGTCTTCATACACGTACTTAGTATAATGATGACCATCACATTCCACTATCCTTGCTAATCCCCTGCCCCCTCCCTTTCCCTCACAACCCTCTTCCCTACCTTGAATTCGTCTATTCCTCCCATGCTCTCCCTCCCTATTCCACTATGAGTCTAATCTCCCTATATCAGAGAAAACATTCAATATTTGTTTTTTGGGGATTGGCTGACTTCTCTTAGCATTATCTTCTGCAACACCATCCATTTACCTGCAAATGCCATGGTTTTGTTCTTTTTTAATGTTGAGTAAAATTCCATTGTGTATATATGCCACATTTTTTTTATCCATTCATCTACTGAAGGACATCTAGGTTGGCTCCACAGTTTAGCTATTGTGAATTGTCAGCACAGCTCTTTCGAACATGTTATACCAGAGGTAGATCATCTGGCTTCTCATCCCTGTTATTTCATCAACAAATTGCATGGTTTGTCTTAGAACCCCGGAGCCTCAGCCTTGATGAATACAGGTCTCTCTCTCTCTCTCTCTCTCTCTCTCTCTCTCTCTCTCTCTCTCTTTCACCAGGGATTAAACCCAGGAGAAGTAACCAGCCCTTTTTATATTTTATTTAGAGACAGGGTCTCGCTGAGTTGCTTAGGACCTTGCTAAATTGCTGAGGCTGGCTTTGAACTTGGGATCCTCTGGCTTCCGCCTCCAGAGCTGCTGAGATTACAGATATGCACCACCAGACCTGGCCAGGTACTCTCTTAAATGCCTTTGGGGGTGTAGCTTAGTGATAGAACATGATCTCTGGCTTAGACGGGGCTGCAAATGTCAACTCTGCCACTTACCATACATATGACCTTGAACTATAAAATCAGGATTCTGCTTCATATCATCTGTGATGAGGATTAGAAGAAACGAGTTGTGTAAGTTCAACACCAAGATGGGTGCATATGAAGACTTTGACTTGTTCTAGTGGTGACATTTTTAGACATTGTGTGGTCCCCCCTCCCATCCCCTTTTAACCAATCCCTGAGAAATCTATATTGCCCCAAATGCTCTTTGTGCAGAAATATTTAAGATAAAATCTTTGCTCTTTTTCTCAAATAATGTTTCCAGAAGATGGGAAAGATGTGTCCATGGTCCACAGAGGGAAGGGTCCAGAGATAGAGGGGAGGGAAGAGCTGGCTGAGTACTGGCCCAGAGGACAGGAGCCTGTGGTAACTACAGCAGCCCCTTCTAGACAGTGGCCGTGGGAGAACCCGAGCATGCCACCTTCTAGGATTTCGTAGAACTCCCTATACAGGTCTCACACAGGACTCTGCCCTTTGGGGGGCTGCTTTGGGAGCCGCCTGCCAGACACGTCTCAAGATCCAAACCAGGATTGAGCCGCTGCTTATGGAAAGTGTGATTTTCCTAAAGGATTAGGAGGCTTCCCCAGGTCTCCAATCACATCAGAACTGCCATCCCCAAGACCAACTTGTCAGATA